CCCAGCCATCCACAGACATCTCTCTGTCTTTTTGTCTTTCCATCCATCTGTCCATTCCCTTTACTCATCTGTTCAGACAGTGTTTACTGAGCACCTACTTTGGGACAGGCACCAACGAGGATCACGATGTGGCCCCTGTCCTTACAGGGCTCCCAGGCTAGCTGGGGAGGCAGGCAAGGACATAGGCAGTTATAATCTCATGTGGTCAGTACTAGGATGGGGGTGGATACCACTGGGGCTTCGGGAGGACTTCCTGGAAGAGGTAGCACTTAGCTAGCCTTGAAAGGTATCCCCTGAAGCCTTACTCGGCCACCTAGGCCAAGGCCCCTGGCCACTCCGACCACGCCAGGCCCCGGGGTTCAGGCCGAAGGGCCAGGCCACCAGTGGTCATTGGCTCTCCATGCCTGCAGAGTGCCAGCCCGGGGTGGGTAGGGCAGGGCAGGCGGCAGCCACACCCTGTTACACAGTCAAGTAAAATTCTGAGCTCCACAGAGAGAGGGAACCGGCCCAAGACCACACAAAGCGTGGCCTGGGGGTGAGGGGCTCCGGGCAGAGCGGGCGTGCAGGCAGGCCGGGCTGGGCCGGGGGCTCCATTCACAGCTGCAGGCTGTCTATTCTTCTCGTGGGGGCAGCGCCCGCCCAGCTGCAGTAATGGGAATCAGCTTCCGCCGCCTGCACCCTCTCCCTCCTGCCATGCGGCCGGCTGCACGGGGCTTCTGAGCCAAGCCCTCTTCGTTACCTCTCCTCCTGCCAGCAGGACTCTGTCCAGAAGCTTTGGGGCCCCTATGGCCAGGCCAATCATTGCCTGCGAGGGGGCTCGTGGGCACCCTGGCATGTGGAAGCCTCCGTTACTGCCAGGTACCCTCCCACACCCTCCCAGCAGCACGGGGTCAGGGGGGCAGGCACCCTCATGTCCGTCTGTCTGGCCGGGCCACGCGAGGCCCAGCTTGTCCTGCCACCAGCTCTCATAGAAGCAGAGGCTCCGGTCTCTGGGCTTGGCCGCTGGCTTGGAGAAGGCTTGCTCTGGGGACGTGGAACAGACCTGCTTCGGACGACTTCCTGCGAGTTAACCGGTCACCTGTTATGTCTCCAGGATCTTCCCAGAAAAGAGACAGTCCAGACGAAGCCAGCCTCAACGTCCCCAGGAGCCTGTGGAGAAGCAGCTTCCAGAAACTGGTAGGACTGACTCCATCCACAGGAGGCCCCAGGCTGAGCCCCAGTAGGAAAAGCAGGCCCGAACTCAAGTGGGGGCACCATACTGCCTCCGAGCCTGATGGGCAGAGTAGAGCCCCATGGGGCCTCGTGGTCATGTGGGCCCCCTTTCCTTGGCCACCTCTCTATACATCTTCAATGGGCAGCTCTGAAGCCGTTCAGCCACCTGCTGCCCAGGAGCCCCACGGACCCACGTGCCTGCTTGTGTGACGATTTGCCCACGAGCACCTTGTAAAGTGGACGGCAGTGTTACCCCTCATGCTACAGGAGGAAAACTGAGGCTCAGAGCAGGAACATCCCAGGTCTGAGGTCTGGGAGCAGAGAAGGGGCCCCTCTGGGTTTGCAAGGCTGGTGGGCTGGCTCCAGAGGGGTCCCCAGCCCCTGGGCTGTGCTCGGGCCTGCCTGCAGCCTGTGCTCCCAGCCCCCTTCCCCAGGACCCTAAGGCCCCCAGGGGCTTCCTGGCAACCTGGTCAGCCCTCCCCATCCCCTCTGAGCTCCCCATTTCCTGTCCTGAGCCCAGCACCTCCCCTTCCCCCATGGCTGGGCTAGCTGGCTGGCTGTTTGGCTCAGTGGGTCCCTAGTGGGGGGAGCCTTTGGGCCTAGGGCAAGGGCAGGGGAGGAGAGTGCCCTAGGCTTGGGGAAGGGGGAGGGGGGAGCTAAGCCGGCCACCCCCTTACAGTTTTTAGACCTCAAGGAGTCACCATGAAATTCCATTCTCCTGACAGCAAAGAAACTGAATCACTCTTGCCAAAGCCCACGGCCCCCACAAGAATGCTATAAGGCTTTGTCCGGCTGTTCCCAGACAGGCAGCCACACCCGGGACCCCCCACTCCCCCCAGCCTGGCTGCAGAGAGGCGCAGGAAAGCCCCGGCCAGGCTGGACCAGTCCCTCTCTGCACAGGTGCTCCCTCTCCTCACTCCCCGCGTGCAAGGCAGCGGTGCACCGAGCTTCACCTTGCTTTCTGTACAATGGGCAGGCTGGAGCCAGGTCACAAGTCAGGGAAAGCAAGGAGTGCCATGTCCTCGGCAGGGCCTTGTCAGCTGGGTGTGTGGGGTACCACGGCTGTGTGCTGCTCCCCCTTGACCTCTCAGAGAACGCTCAGCATCTAGAGGGCACCAAGTATGGATGCCGCTGGCTGACCTGAATCCCAGGTACGGGGCACAGCTCATGCAAAGATTTTGGGGCACAAGGGTGCTTGGGCTGCTGGGGAATAGGGAGGATTGCAGGGTTCAGCAAGAAATGGGGCTGGGAATAGGTAGGCACCAGGCCAGGATTTGAACTCAGAGCAAAGGGGAGCCATGGAAGATTCTGACCTGTGTGTGTGTGTGTATGTGTGTGTGTGTGTGTGTGTGTGTGTGTGGAGGGGGTGGGGTATGATTAGAGCCGTCTGGTTCAGAGTGCAGAAGAAAACAGAGCAGGTAGATGGGGGACAGGGAGACCAGGGTGGAGACTGCCCAAGAGGTCCAGAGGAGAGATGAAGGTGGCGGAGGGGACTCCTTCTCAAAATAGCCCAGATCTGGGATAGATGGGAGTTGGTGGTGGGGCAAGGGACATGGGGACTTCAGACTTGAGGCTGGGCTGGGGCTCAGCCTACTGTTTGGGGGCAGCCCATGCAGCCATAGGGAACTTTTCTCCCCTGCCCATCCCCACCCCTCCAGCTGCCTCGAGGCTCCGAGGCTCTGAGGCTGGGCTGATGGGGGAGGGGTTTATGGCAGGAGGTGACACCACGGGAGACTTATCACTTGGGCACAGCCAGGACCATCTGCTCAGGCATCTGCCTGCCTGAGGTGGCGCCTGCTAATTACCTGGGGTGGGGGGGAGCAGGAAGAGGCCTGGGAACCACTATCCCCCATCACACCCCATGACAGAGGGGCTGGAGTAGGGCCCCAGGACCCTACGAGCAAATGGGCCACAGCCTCCCTGCTCCCCGGTGGGGGTGGGCAGACATCTACCCAGTAAATCCTTACAGAGCACCTACTATGTTCCAGCCCTGTTCTGCACTTGACCTTTTCGGGGGGCAGACATCTACCCAGTAAATCCATACAGAGCACCCACTACGCCCTGTTCTCCTGCACTTGACCTTCGGTGCAGGAAGGGGGACCCATTGCAGGCAGAGGGCTAAGGGCTGTGAGGAGAACTGGCCAGTGGGCAGAGCGAGCGCTAAATGGGCCCCGGGGCCCTGGTGGTCCCAGAGGGCCTCCTGAGGAGGGGATGTCAGAGCCGAGAGGGAGGGGAAGGAGGCTCAGCCAAGCGGAGAGCCGCCCCCAGCTGCGCTTCCGGAAGATGCTGAGGGCAGGGAGCTCAGACCCTGATCCTGCGCCAGGGGGCCCCCTGGCCACTTCCGGGCCCCTCGCCCCTCACCCTCACCCCGGCTGCCGGCGCGCATTCCTGCCGCCCCTGCTCGTGCGGTGGGCCGGCCCGGCCCGTGGGAAGGCCTGGGGGTGGGGGCCGCCGTGTGCCGGGGAGGCGGGGCGGGGGCACAGCTGGGCCACATCTGGCCTGAGCGTAGAGGGACCAAATGGGACAGAAAGCAGCCTTTCATCCCGCAAGGGGCGGGGCGACTTCAGTTTCTTCTCGCCACGGGGCGCCCGGAGGACTTCGGGGACCAGCTCCGCACCCCCGCCGCTGGGCTGGAATTCGAGGAAATTAGCTCGGGGCGGGGGTGGGGGCAGGGCGCTGAAGGTGGAATTTAATACAGGTGCTTTCTCGGTGGAAACACGTGTCTCTGCCCGTGGCTCGGCGGGGGGGAGGGGGGCTCAACTCCTCAGTATTAATCACCGCTGCCTTAGGTGCGCTCAGGTCCACCTAGGCGCCGCCCCCTATGCTTGGCACGCACCACCCCAAGGGGAGGACGCCGGGCTTGGGGAGGGGCAGGGCACCGCGAGCAAGTGAGGACGTCTCCTGCGGGACTGCGGAGCCTGAAGCCCCCGTGCCAGAACCCCGGTCACCGCGCCGAGGGCGCGCCCTTCCGCGTGCCAGACGCCCCGTGCGGTCCCCGCCGGCGCTGGCCAGCCTGGCTTCCCCTTCGGGGCCACCGGGGCGAGCCGGGCCCAAGGCCCCAC